GTTACTTGAAGGCATGGAGGATTTCTCCATTTTTTAAGAAACACTTTTTAAATGTTTATTTTTATTCACTTATTCATCTGCTCTGGGCCTTAGTAATGGCATGAAGGACCATCGACCTTTGTTGCAGCATGTAGGATCTTTTCATTGCAGCAACGGGGGACCTAGTTCCCTGACCAGGGATTGAACTTGGGCTCCCTGAGTTGCGAGTGTGGAGTGTTAGTCATGGACCACTAGGGAAATCCCAATTTCACTTCATTTTTTAAAATTCCCCTTTAGTCCAGCATAGTGTATAGCACAGAGTGGTACCTCAGTTAATGTTTATTCAGCAAAGTTCATGTTCTCTGTGGTTTAGAAATGTTCTCAGGGGGCATTCAGCCATGTTATAGATGGTTTGAATTACAAAAGTAGGGCATCATAATTAACCCACAACTGTGTTAGGAATTGCAGGATGACTCACAATTATTTATTTATATCTGTATCTTGAATACTATCTTTCTGGGGGAAAAAAAGTACCAGTTTTATTATAAGATAATCACCAATCAACTTATCTTGTTAATACTGTGGGTTGTGGTTTTGTAAGAAATTAGAATCTCAAGACTACTTTTCTCCCACCATTATATTTTGCTCAAATATTGAATCAAGGAGTTTGATGTGTGATTTGAGTTTTCCATGGTGTGGTATTTTCTGCTGAATCATCTGCACCTTACCAACTGTGTTCTTTATAGATAAATTATCCATGCCACCAGTTCTAAAATTGTCTTTATTTCTTGTCTACTTTTATACTTACTGACTTCCTATTGTGAAACAGGAAAGCAGTGATATTGTTTCTGAGCTGTTTCACTATAGGTGTTTGGTAGGCCTCCATATCTCACTGAGAGGCATTTTTCAGACTCTTCTTCTGTATTTCCAGACCTCTTAATGGTCAGGAAAATTTTTGGACCTCAAACGTGTGCTCTATATGCAGTATAATGAATTTGGTTGTCCAGAAGATTATTTAGTAAAACATTATATATTCCTTTTTATAAGCAAGTTCTTAATTCCATGAGTGTACATGTATTCATTTGCTAGAGCTGTCATCCCACAAAACAGAAATTTTATTTCCTCACAGTTCTGGAAGCTGAAAGTCCAAGGTCAAGGTGTTGACAGGATGTATGTCTTCTGAGGACTTCTTTCCTTGGCTTGTCATCCACGGTCTTCACCTGGTCTTCCCTCTGTGTCTGTCGCTACCCTAATCTTATCAGGACACCAGTCATGTGGGATTAGGGCCCACACATGTCACATCACTTCATGGCAAATAGATGGGGAAACAATGGAAACAGTGAGAGACTTTATTTTGGGGGGCTCTAAAATCACTGCAGATGGTGACTGCAGCTGTGAAATTAAAATATGCTTGCTACTTGGAAGGAAAGTTATGACCAACCTAGACAGCATATTAAAAAGTAGAGACACTACTTTGCCAACAAAGGTCCATCTAGTCAAAACTATGGTTTTTCCAGTGGTCATGTATGGATGTATGAGTTGGACTATAAAGCTGAGCGCCGAAGAATTGATGCTTTTGAACTGGGTGTTGGAGAAAATTCTTGAGAGTTGCTTGGACTGCAAGGAGATCCAACCAGTCCATCCTAAAGGAGATCAGTCCTGGGTGTTCATTGGAAGGACTGATGTTGAAGCTGAAACTTCAATACTTTGGCCACTTGATGGGAAGAACTGACTCATTTGAAAAGACCTTGATGTTGGGAAAGATTGAAGGCGGGAAGAGAGGGGACGACAGAGGATGAGATGGTTGGATGGCATCACGGACTCAATGGACATGAGTTTGAGCAAGCTCTGGGAGTTAGTGATGGACAGGGTAGCCTGGCATGCTGCAGTCCATGGGGTCGCAAAGAGTCAGACATGAATGAGCGACTGAACTGATGTTACATCATCTTACCTTAATTACCTCTTTAAAGGTCCTTCCTCCATATCTAGCCACACTCTGAAATCCTAGGGTTTAGGACTGAGAATTTCAACGTATGCATTTTAGAGGGCACACAGTCAGCACATAAGTCAGTGAATAATGTCACAGTTTAAATATCCCATTCAGATAGTAGAGAGAGTGCTGCAGTACTGTTCCATGATTACTCAATAAATATATATCTACTACTTTCTCTTTTCATAGACCAAAATGCTGTCTTCCTTTCTGCTTATCCTTTTACCTTTGCTGATTTTTTGAGGCCATTGGCTTCTCCAGAATGGTTGGTGAGGAAGGAAAGCTCGTGTCCACACTCTCTTTTGGAATTCTGGGATCAAAGTTTTATCAGAAAAACAGATACTTGGATACTTTCCTTTAATAAAACTAGTAATAATAATACCCTTTACTGAGTGCTTACTAAGGGCAACTCACTGTGTTGTAATGATTGCAATGAGCCTGCAAAGCTGATGTTACTATCCACTTGACACATGAGGAAACTGAGGCTCTGAGACATGGAGTAACTTGCCCTGGATACTTACTTTGTGGTTTTTCCTTTAAGGCACATGTTTGGTCCTGAAGGGCTATCAGTTGTGAGATTAGAAGGATGTGGAAACAAGGATGTATCAACTTGTATCCACTGGGCTTATTGGTGGCAGTCTGAGACCTAAGGCTCCCAAAAGTTACAGACTCCAGTGACTGAATTCCACACGGGCAGAGGTTTGAAGGTATAGCACAGTCTGCCTCTTAAACTGGGCCAGTCGATTCTGGGTTACTTGGAGCCAAGACCTATGGACCACGGCCTAGATTGAGTAGTGGTTGTCATGGTAACTTGTTCAAAAGTGGGCTCCAAAGAAAGCTTCAGGATAGGCAATATGACATAAGAGACATGGGTTCGATCCCTGGGTCAGAAAGATCCCCTGGAGAAGGAAATGGCAACCCACTCCAGGATCCTTGCCTGGAGAATCCCATGGACCGAGGAGCCTGGTGGGCTACAGTTCATGGGGTCACAAAGAGTCAGACATGACTGAAGGAACTTACCACGCACAAGCAATAAGAACCCGAGGAAGATGTATTGCCCAATATTTCATGATGGGATTATGGGCAAGAATTACTGGGAGCTGCCTGGAAAGGGCTAGATCAGTGGTTCTCCATCTTTGGCTCAGTATTTGAATAACCTGGGGAGCTTTCAAAAGCACAGAGCCTGGGTTCAGCCTAATTGAGAGTGGCATGGGCCTTGCTGTCTGTAGTTGTTAACAGCTGCCCAAGTAGCTCTGATGTACAAAGTTAATAAGAACTAATGAGTTAGGTCAGAGGTTGGCAAGCTGTGACCCGGGGCCAGATCTGGCCTGCTGCCTATTTTGTAGGGTCCAGGAACTAAGAATTGTTTTTACCCTTTCAGATGGTTGAAAAAAAAAATCTCTATTTTGCAATTCTTGAAAATGACATGAAATTTAAATTTCAGTATTCCTAATTCAATTTGTACTGGAACACAGCCATCCGTGCTCATTCATTTACATTTTGTCTATGGTTGCTTTCACGCCACAACGGCAGAGTTGAGTAGTTGCAGAAGATCTGAAAGCATGTTTACTATATGGCCCTTTATAGAACATGTTTACTGAGCATGAGTGAGGTGAAGCTGATGTCGTCATCAGGGCTGCCTTAGAACCTGGAAGGAAACATTTGTGTAACTTGTTGTTTGTATAGTGTACTTTACATTTTAATCTGTGGATTTTTTGTTGTTTCCTAGCAGAAGGGCCCTGGTTGATGGATTTATAGCAAGTTTGTTCAGCTGACTTTTTATCAAACAGGTTTGAGACATACTTTTTCCCTCAAAACATACAAATAAAAAGAATACAGAATCCAAAGATTATGATAACCTAGACCATTTCATTATTGAAAATCTCCTAAATCATGCCTAATATCCATTTCTTATCCCATAGCCATCACCTCCATCCTTTTGTTGTCTTCCCACATCTTCTGTACATATTTGCAGTTAATACCAGCTGGATGGCTCCAAGCATTTCCTTTACTTAATCCAGTGTTGGAAAAAGAGAACATTGTTTGTAGGAATGATTTTAGTATAAAAACACAGTTGAGCAAAATTAGGAAAATAACTGGTGACTGTCAGATTGGTTTGTTTCTTTTACCTTCCAGTTTTCATTCACTTGGGTTTAAAAACAAGAAAAGTATTAAGCTTGGCAAAATTACCCAAGAAATGGAAAACAACCAAGAAAAGGAACCCCCCCCGCCCGCAGGCTGTGTTTTGTAGAGAGAAGAAGCCACCCTTTGCTTCTAAACTAGCCCATCGGACTCAGAAGAGAGAGATCGTAAACTTCTGCTTGTATTTACCACGTTAGGCTTTTGCTTATTTTGTTTTCACTCGTAATTTTGGTGGTGGTGATTGTGAGAGTGAAAGCTAGAGGTTGATATACATTTATCAATTTCATAAGCATGTGATATCATGGATTTTTTAAAAATAATGAACTTGTATCAATTGAACTCATAGGAAAAAAGTATTTGATTTCCAAATAGTTTATTATTCACCATTGGAGGATCGTTTTCAATGACCTTGAGAGTCTCCTTCTGAGACTACTTGGTGTCTTATGAATTGCAAGTGAGGCCACATATTCATATGTTCTCATTTTTATCCTGTCCTTCCCCATCATGGTGAGGTGGCTACAATCCTAGGCATATTTACCCTACAGCCACCTGGAAGGAAGCCAGCAATGTCATTACAGATGGCCGTGTGCCCAGACTATCTTAAAAAAGCATCATCTCTGTGACTAATTAAGTTTCAGGAAGGGCGATGTTCGCTTTTATATTAACAAGCATTTTGAAAAGGCTGAGAGAAGATATGTTAGAAGCAATCTTCTTAAGAGTTCATGGTTACATTTAGTTGTCCTTTAGTTTTTCCACTCCTGAGTTTGGAAAGCCATCTGCTGGATTGGGGATATTTTGGGCAGGGGGAAAAGGAGTTGATGTTTGCATGTTTTGTATTTCTACTAGTGCCTCATTTTTCTTTCTTTCTTTCTTTCTTTTTTTTTTTAAGGGTTCTGTACATTGGTCTGGCCTGCAATACAGCTCGCTATATTTATATTTCCTACCTGGAAAACGCCTGGACTGTTCTGCCCATGGAAGTTCTTCAAGGTAAGTTAATAGTTGGAGTTAGGATTATTTTTCTACCTGACTGAGTTGTGACTACGTGAAAGTTCAGTGGCCTTCAGCATCTGACTCTGCAGAGGAAGGGCAGGCACACTGTTCTGTGTGAGTTTGAAATGCTTGTTACGGAAGACGTGACCACAGCGGGGCTGGCTCCTCGGTCCCTCTGAGTGTTCTGTTTGTCAAGCCAAACACAGTTGGATCATTTCCCACACCCTATGCTTCAACAAAGCAAGAGGAACTCTGCAATAAACTCTTACATACAGTTGTTAGGTGTGCACATCCAGAGGTGGTTTTAAATATAAGAGGATTTATATTTTAGAGATTTTAGTGTTTTTGTCAATTAACTAATTGATAAAAATGTTTGCCATAATTATTTTATTTCTTCAGTTACTTTGATCACAGCTAGTGATTTGTAACTAAAGCTTTACAGTCAGACTGTTGTTTTCCCGTGAACCTTTAAAATCTTTGCTCAAATATCCTGACCTGAGTTCTTCTCTTTGCTTCACTGGACTGTTTCCCTGCAACATGTAACTTTGAAAAAAATTTCTTGCTGTGTGGTTTAAGAACAGTGAAAACATAGATTTCTATTCATTAGCTCTATATAATCCAGACTGTATCCTGAGAAGGTCTCTTAGCAGCTTGGCTGTTCCATTTGGTGATTGGTATTATGATTAAAATAAAGGTTTAGGAAAACATCATTGGAATTGAGGTCTTCTGGGACCACCCAGACTCCTAAATCATTAATTGTACCAAATAATCTGTGACTATATATAATTTCATTAGCTTTATTGATTGCTGTTATCATTTCCCCTAACTTTGAAGATGCAAATACAGTACCATCAACATAATTCTCTATCATAATATAGAAGATGAAAGATTCACAATTATATATCTAAATGAAATGTACAAAATGCAGAGTCATTCATCAAATGCCATCGTTTCAAGAAAAAAAATTATCCTAATTTAAAGGTGACATAATTTACAGTCATATGATAATTATAAAATTCAAGTATGTACACACTTTAAAGATGTTTTTCTCAGGTCTGATGCAGTGGTATAAATGATGAAAACAGATTCTATTTATAAATGTATAGAAAATAGAGAATGGAAATTAGGTCTATGGTAGGAAATTGTTGTTTGTAGTCATGAGAACTCTTGAAGAGTCTTAAGGCGGAACATACATCTCAGTGTTCTGTCATATAAGAAAAAGCACAAAATATGAAATGCAGGAAAGAAATGTGCAATGATAACAAGATATGTGCAACACATTTCTTAGGAATTCCACCTCTAATTCCTACTCTAATTCTATGAGGAGTATGCTCACCTGATTTAACTACTTTATTTATTGGTGTGATATCAGGTGCAGACCTTTAACTAGGAAACAAAAGAAACAAAAAATGGTATACTTGTCATAATAATACACGCATATACTTTTTTCTCTCCTTTTAATTTCATATGAACTAGATGAAAAAGATGGTTTGCATTAGTGACTTAAGAAAATAGAGCTAATGAGAGAAGTTTTTTTAAAAAAATGATTAAAGAAGATATTTATAACAAAAGAATTTTATAAGAGGGAAGAAAACAGATGCTGTTGTGAATCAGGACACTTTTTTTCCTGTTAATTTATCAAAGACATGGTTAACAGCCAGCACAAGTCAAACAGGATGCCGGGTGCTGGGAATGTAATTAAAAAACAATATATTAACAGTCCTCAAGGTCTTGCTGCCTGTTCTGGAAGGCAGATGTGTAAACAAATACCTGCTACCCTGTGTGTTAGATGTAATTCCACCAGATTCTGTGCCAGGTACCAGAGAAGATGCTGCAGAGAGGGAATGACCAGCTTTGTGAAGCAGAGAGTGGGAGGATGGAGATATTATTAAAAGATTCCCCAAGCAGATCATAGACGAGCAGGATGTTGAAGGGGGACTCGGACTCCAGCCGGGGACCTAAAGAGAAGTGGACGTGTTGGCTTAGAGCAGCGCCCCATGCCGAAGCAGCCTGTGGAGAGCAGACTGGCCTCCCTGGGAGCCCGTGGGAGACCCTGGCGGGGGCGCGGTGGGCTTATCCTCGGCTGCTCACCCAGGGCCTGGTTTTATAAAGTGTGCTTACGTGCCTCTCTGGGCAGTCACCCTCGCCTCGTGTGGCAGGCTGCAGTTTATACCTCTGTGTCTGATTTTGTTTGACCTTGTACCAGCAGAGACCTAGTTACTGATCTGAAGTAAGTAAAAAGCGGGGATCTGTAAATACAGAGAGCCTTCTCGGCTAACCGGGCTCTGGGACTGGCTTCACAGGGCTGTCTGTGTCTAAGCCTGGAGGGGACGGGTCCATCCCCAGCGGAAGTGAGGCCTGAGTGTTCTGGCTGTACACCAAAGACTCCCTTGCCTTTGTTTGACCCGTGCCTGCCACGGAAAACAGTGGATTATCTATGTGGAGTAAATCCTGTGCTTTAGGAACACACTTCTGACCGAATAGGGTTGTTTTCCAGTCTGGATTCTTCCATATTTGCAAGCCTTGTCCAAATGACTGTCAAGGCCCGGTGCTGTAGGCAGCTCTAGTTGCAATGCAGTCAGACAAGAAATGATGACAAAGCAGGGAACGATTTAATTACAGGCCAAGCCCTTCGTTACGACAGATGCCCCGTAGCCCTGTGACAGGAACTGCTCCCTGACAATTTTCAAAGACCCAGCCATAGGAGGGGAGGGTGGGGTGGGGGTGGGGTTGGCTTTCATCCCTAATAGTCAGGACAGCACTTCCACTCTTTTATTCCTCCCCCGCACCACACGAGAGGGTCTTCTTAAAAAAAAGAGGTGAGGGCTGGCTCCTCATTGTCCCTTTCACCCCTTGCCTCGTTCCCCAAACACCATTAGAACCAGTACCGTCTGAGCAGCCAAAGGGGAGAGACACAGGGTGTTCGTGAACCCGTATCTCTGCTCTCTTCCTTTCTGGGGCTGCCTATCACTGATGGAGGGGGATGCCTTATGTCCCACACTCCTGGAAGCTCTTTATCATCATCTTAGCGTTGGGCTCCTCAGGCCATGCTGGTAATGATTGGCAGATGGAATGGGGATAAAGCATATTTCTTCTCCTCTAGGCCCCTAGGAAGGAGGCCATGTGGGTAGCTATTTGGGGACGGAGGTAAGACTGTTGGACACTGTTGGGGATTACAAGCACGTTTCTTTTCCATGATCCTTCTCACATTTAGTAGCCAGTGTCTCTTGCAGCAAGCACGTTATTCAGTAGGCAACTGGTGCTGCCATATAAAGAAACAGGATGAGACATCCCCTGCTCGTAAGGAGCCTGTGTGCTTTAGTAGCTGAGTCCTGTCAGACTCTGACCCCATGGGCTGTAGCCCACCAGGCTCCTCCATCCATGGGATTCTCCAGGCAAGAATACTGGAGTGGGTTGCCATTTCCTTCTCCAGGGGACTCTTCCTGACCCAGGGATCGAACCCGGGTCTCCTGCACTGCAGGCCATTCTTTACCGACTAGTATTCGATAGTAAGGAGACTGTAATTTATTTTAAAAAGAGATGGTGACTCTGAGTGCCTCAGAGCATTGCTGGTTGCAGTGGAGGGGGTGGGATAGTTTATACTTATTTATAAGATCTCATTTTCAAAACCCATAGGTTTTTCTCCTTTACTTCTGTATGAGAAGCATTTAAATATATTCTTGATTGTAAGCAGGAGTATACACTTTTGATAAAAATCAAGGTCAAATTTGTTATGCTCATTTTTATGGGGGTGTTAGTTATAAACCCTTGCAAGACTTATAGATGAATGTGATCCAGATTATTCTTGCTTTTAAAATGTATTTAAGGAGAGTAAGGCCAGGCCAGGGCTGCTGTAACTAAAGACGTCCTTTTGTGGTACTCACATTAATGGCTCAAGCCCTGAAGGGTGAAAGTGAGGTCTGTGTCGGTTCCTTGTTGGCAGGACGCTTGATCAGTAAGATGCGGGTTAAGATTTTGATAGAAGATAGTTTTTTAATGTCACCAGTAGGAAGGCTTGAACTGACATTTATGAAGCTTTTCTTTCTTGTTTAGTATGCCTGCTCAGCCAAGTGAGAATCACGTTTCCCCTCCTCTCATGTTCTGGTAGAGTGCAGAAGAATTATGAAAGCATTAGCTATGAGGTCCTTATCTGACAGTGGAAATTCTAGCTGTGATTCTAGGCTGCTATCATCCATATTGGAAATTTTCTGTCTGACTTAATTCTTGAAACACAAGTAGCTTGTCACATGAATATATAATACATACAGAATGCTCTTGGTATTTCAGTAGGTAGACTGACATACAGAGATGATTGATGTTACTGTGAATTTTTAATCAGAAGAATCTTATAACAGATTATGATAAATTATTCTTTATCACTCCCATGCTTTACAGTTACTAAAAGTTCTTATTAATACATAACATCTTCAAAATAGACATTATTTTGTCCCTCTAGAATTTATTTTAAATACCTCCTGCCCCAAGAATGCTTTGCTGGCAAATTGCATCTGACATTTAGCTCTTCCTTTTCTGAATTGTTCTCAAACTTACGGACTATGTTATAGTTTAGCACTTACTTGTTACCCAGTTATTTTATTGAGCAAATATTACTTCCTGACTTGGTTTTAACCCTTAAGTGCAAAGACCACATCTTACGCTTTTTGAATTCTCCAAAGAGACATGATCATAGGAAGACATACTATAAATGCTTGTTTTTCTGGTTTCACAGTCCCCTGAGAAATGAACTATAGTTGATGTTTTCTAATTATTAAAGCTTTTGAATAATATAGGAGGTTCTATCTCAGAGACTTACAAATATGGGAAGAAAAGCTAAAAACTAAATTTAAAAGTTGAATCTTTGATATGCTAGCTTTTCTCCTAGGATGCCATCCTGCCATCCATTGCACATTTGTAAAAACATCAGTGCATCTTCATTATTTACTTATTTATGCTCCCACATCGTCCTGTATATTATTTGAGACAGCTTACCAAAATAT